GGAATGTGCGCGTAAGCTGAGATTAGTATGCGCAGCTATGCATTGAAGAGCTTTTGAAGCGTGTACGAAAGGCAGTTGGCCCCTGTTTTCACTATTAGTATAATTTTCAATCTCGACCTTATTAGACCTTTTTTTTTTTTTTTTAATTCAAGGCTCCATTCTATTTGTGGGGAGCAGCACATGCTGGGAACCGGGCCCAGCATCCCTTACATACTTTGGAAGTTGCATGTCGGGGCCGGGGTCCCCACAGTCTGCCCGGGAAAACACACATTGAAAGCATTCGCAGACACCGGGAGCATTACCCGGCCTCACTTTGGACGAAGAATAGTACTCTCGGCTGGAAAACGGGTCCAGGGTCCCACGATTACTATGTATCCTCTACTACCTACCTCTCCAAAACTGTATCTGAGTCCTGCTTGTAAGACCTCTCAGCCATGAGGCTGTCTGAACTGCGTGGCCTGCTAGACTCACAAGTGGGACTCGAAATTCTATGAACTAATAGCTTCCGAAGTAACTTTCTGTTTCAGCCTTTGTACCTCAGTACTGGTCGAGCCTCAACCTACTGCATTTTATTTCACAGTTTCTTACTTAACCATGGACTCAGGATTACCTCCTGGGCATCATCCAGCTTATTAGCAAGTTTGTTGTCTGGTGCCCAGGTTTTCAAAACCCGAATCAGTCCCTTCCTCTGCCTATCAACCAAAATTGTGAGTCTCAGCTGTTTCCGAAATTGAGTCTGAAGTTGTCCCCTGCCTGGGAGATCGCCCTTGAAGAGGGCTTTGTTGCGTGAAAGCCAGATGATGATGTGTATAACAATCCCTCTGCAAATCTGACCAATATACCCCCAACCCGAGCTATAGTATAATCCCTCTGCAAATCTGACCAACATACCCCCAACCCGAGCTATAGTTCTGATCAGTGGAACTTGCTCCTGTTTCGATCCAGTCATCCGTCCAGTGAAAGGCTTCAAAGGATAAGGCCTTCCAGTATTTCCTCCACCACTGCCATATATTCGGATGGAGAAGGGGCAGTGTATCCATACGTGGGAGGTCGTTTCCCACGCCCACCAGCACCTGCCACAGGCTCTAGGGAGATCCATATTCCTTGAGATGAGCCACTCAGCAGACGGCACTACACAGAGTGTCTGCAGCAGACCATATCTTTTCATTCCGATCGCTTTATACCTTTCGAGATTCTAGATCTCATTATCAATTGGGATAATTCACATATATCTCAATTTATGGGGAATATGTTTTGCGAATTATCCCTTATAAGTGTAGTTCCCATCTGATGATATCTTTCAATTCCGATCTGATTATACCTTTTAGTTCAAATCCTCCTTTTCGTATTTTGGATTTTTTTTTCCAATTCCGAACTGATTATGGCTTTTGATTCAAAATCTTATATTTTTCAATTCCGATCTTATTGTAGCCTAAATCTTTTAATTCCAATCTTGCTAGCAGTAGTAGTAGTAGTATAATTATTAGTATAATAATATTGCCTTTTAATTCCGATATCCACAGAAAATTCCTACATGAGTTTTGATCAGTGGAGAGAAAGAAAATATTCGACGGCTGTCCTTCGAGACAAAGCCAGCTTTGCTTCGGAGTTCGTCAGATTCGCACAGGACTCGAGCAGGATTCAATCTCATGCTCTTTCTTTTGACTACAGAAAGTCAGTGTATGTACAATTCAGCCAGCCACATGGCCCAGTGGCTGGGCCCTTGAGGCGGATACAAAAGTTTTCTGAGGTGTTGAAATTGTTTTTCTTGGGGGGGGGAACATATTGCCGTGTCCCCCCGCCACGGGACTAACCCGACTGCAGTTGGGCCTTCTGGTATCAATGTATCAGTTCAGCCTTCTGGATTCTCGCAGGAAATAATACATATGTATATGTCTTCATATATGATTACTGTATCCCTGGGCTTTATTTTATTTTTGGGGGGAAATTAATTGTACCGTACAGTATCAAGAACACTGTCGCGATTAAAGATAAGTAATTAGTCCCGTGAGCGAAGCTGGGTAATTCTTACAGTATTTTTTCCCGGGTAGACTGTGAGGACCCCGGCCTCGTTTGATATATTTTATAATAAAGAATATGCTTTGTTATAAATTAAAAAAAAAAAAAAAAAAAAAAAAGATCAAACTTGTAGGCATTTCGGTTTCTTGAGTAGGTTCCGCGGCACAAATGGAAGCAATCAATGGAAATGAAAAAAGTAGCTGGAAATTTGACAAAACAAGTAACTGGAAATTTGAAATTACAGCTAGCTCAATTTGCAAAATTAAAAGCCTTCGCTCGACTGTTTTGTTTGTTATCAAAAATTATAACCCGAGTAGCACGGGACACGGGAGATCCTGTGTGAATTTGTGGGGACCAACTCGTAAGGCTAAATACTCCTAGCTAACCGGTAGCGAAAAAGTGTCGCGAGGGAAAGGTGGAAAGAACCACCATAACCAACAAGCCTAGCGCAGTTCGTACACCCATGGACTGTTGAAATACAGACCTGAACCACAACGTATTCGAGCCTAGCGAAAAAGTCCATATCCTCCTGGACCTTGAAGAATGGAATAAATCATTCAGACTTCACCTGGGGCCGGTTCGATCGATCAAAACATCCCAAGGCCGTCAAAAAAAAAAAAAAAAAAACCCATAGGAGAGTGAAAGAGAAAACGAAACGTGGCATTCCGAGGCGCAATTTTTTCTTTCTTATTTTTTTTTGGGGCGCAATTTCGGCATCCTTTGAACCGAAATCATCAGGCCTTACCTGGTTCCCGCCAATAGGGCCTGACGATTTCGGTTCACAAAAGGCCGCAAAACAAAAGGCCGAGATTGCGGCAAGAAACGGCGGCAAACGGGGGCAAACGGAGGCAAACGTATCTGCTCGATCCAGCTATAACAATATCCCCAACACACGAAAAACACGAAGAAATCTCAAGGCCGTCGCCCTTCTGAAAAAAGACAAAAAGGAACGAAGGAAAAATGGGCTCCAAAGCGTGGCCACGGAGATTCGTAATCCGATCTAACGGTTGGATCCTGTTTTTGACCCAATGGCGGGAAAGATAATCCTTCAGACGACCGCAGTAAGTGTGACAAGCAACAGCCAGTTTGTTAATTGGCTCTTAAAAACCCTTCTGAGGTTTCAGGCGTACATATAATTCCGTCTGTTTGTCATGCTCAAGTACGCGCACACTTCCGCCCCAGAGGAAATAAAGCGACACGGGAGAAATGGCGGGAAAGAAGGGAGAATCACGAACAAGATAAGAGTGATCTGGCGGGAAGCAAAAGGCCTTGAAACGGGTGCCCACGGACGCGTACCTTTTTCTTTTGGGAGAAAAAGGGGGGGGGGGGGGGGAGGGATCCAAAGGTACGACAGAGGGAAGAAGAATATGACCAAGATGGAGGGAAAAAGAGAGGGCGGAGTGAAGATGACGAGGAGAAAGAGGAAGGAATGAAGAAAAGAGAGACGGAGGAAAACGAGAAAAAAAGGAGAAACCGACGTAGGAGAGAAGCGAACCACGCAAGCTTAAGTGCACGCTGATCGATAACCCGATCCAGGGAAGGGAAAAAAAAACGAAAAAAAAAAGGGCACAAATGGACGCAAAGGATAACTCAATCCAGAAAGGAGAAAAAAAAAACAAAAAAAAACGCACATGGCGAGAGATCTAGGCTACCAGCCGGGCGCCTGGGTCACCCTATTTTCCCGGTAGCAAGAAAAAAGAAAATCCGGAAAAAAACTATGTTATGCAGAAAAATGAACTGAACAACTTTTGCGTCAGGGTCACATCGAAATTCTTTACCATATTTAAAATAAAACATAAAGTCAATAATAATTTTATTTTATTTATTTATTTATTTATTTTGCCCGCCCGGGCAAGTGGCCCCAGGCCACTCTGGTAGCCTAGCGAGAAATTAAATTATCGAGCAGAAATACACACGCGAGCACACCGCTAACGCGACGCAAATACTCAGCGCGAACTCGCACCAGGATCTTTTGTGAATGATCTTTGGACGCGATTGTGGTCAAATACGTACAGCACTTCCCAAATTCGGTCACAGGTACATCGAGGGAGGTCCTAGTCTCAGGAAGTTCAGCTGCCGATCCAACGTCACTGCTGTTCCAACTCCAATTTTACTTTCTTTTTTTCCCGCTCTGTAAAGGGAACGAAAAATGAAACATTTAAAACAATCACACATACAAACGAACAAACAAATTGCTCTACAGGTGTGTCATTTCGTCCGGGGAAAAAAGGCGGGTAAACGGTCTGTCGGTGTGAGATGAGCACGTCTACCGTCTTCACCCCAACCAATCGAACGCGCGGTCATTATCGCCGTATTGGGGCAACTTTCAGTCTACATACAATGAATAATGACCGGGCGTTCTATTCGGGTGAAGACGGTACGGTAGGCCTTCAACATGCGGTCGAAATCGATTGCCGAATACACAGAACACGTTTGCATTCATGTGGAGTAATTAACACATGTACGATCACACAGAACACGTTTGCAATCATGTGGAGTAATTAACACATGTACGATCACGTCCCGATCAGACACGTGGCAATGAGGTTAATTACCAAAAGCTTCATCTCACATCACAAAATTATCCACACGCATGAAATAAATAAAAAAAAAAGATAATCGCCAGAGAAACGAAAGAGAAGACAGTATCCTCCTCGGAGTGCGAGGAAAGAAAGAAATATCAGAGTAATTCATCCATAATTAATCATTAAGTAATCATCAAGTAATCATTAGTTATTCATAATAATATGGGGAATTATTTCGTTGCAAAGCAAGGAACCTCGGCAATTACCACGAAAATATGTACTCGATCAAAGAACAAAAAACACAAATTTTGACACAATATTCAAATACAGAGAAGCAAAGCACTCCGAGAATACCACGGTCGTTCCTTGGGAGTCTTTTGGTGCAAAAATACTGTAATACGGGGAAAAGACAAAATGCGAAGACTGGAAAACTCAAATAAAGAATTCATATCATACCTGCATCTACCACTCGCGCTTCCATGTACTCGTCCAAATCTTCCACATGCTGCCCATCAGAATTCTCCGCGCTCTCGTTATCTAAGGCAGCTCTAACACACAGGCCTCCCCTCTCTCCTCCTCGAGAAGGCGAATGATGGGCCGGCTCTCTGCCAGGTCTTCGCGAAACCGACTGCAGTGAATGGTGATGAAGATCTGGTCGCGGGTTGGAGTCCCTGCATGGCCAAGCAGTAGAGATCATCAAAAGCCGCCGCTGTGAAATCGAGCGTCCAGAAGCTCTCGGTCGGGATACCTTCGAAGCATCCGACAAGCTCTTGCAAGACGAAGAAGAAGAACGCGGGCACCTCCTCCTCAGAAACGAAATTGGGGACGACGGTGTCAATAGCCTGCCAAATCCACGTGGCAAAACAAGCGACGTTCGTCCGCTGACGTAGCCGCAACTAACCGATGTTGACAACGCCCCTGCTTCCAGATCCACAACTCCGAAAACGTCCTGCGCTTTCACCACATCTACACCTACCGCGCACGTCGCTCCCGCCATTATCACCATCTCTCTCTCTCTCTCTCCCCGCACACACGTACAGAGATGTCAGGGAAGCCAAGGTCTCTCTCTCTCTCTCTCTCTCTCTCTCTCTCTGCCCCCAGACACTCGATAAAGCCAGGGCTCGTCTCTCTCGCAAGCACACACGCACACTCACACACACAGACACCAATCAAACAAACACACACACTCAAAGAGACGTCATGTCAGTGAAGTGAAGGTGTTTGTATCGATTGCCGGGAGGAGAAGCCGCCTCGAGGATGTGTTTTCTAGTTCCGGTCGCGGCAGACAAGCCACATGATGACTCTTGATTGTCGTTCACTGTTCGCCTTTCCGAGCAGAACCTCACAGTCTCTACATACGTCCAGCGCAATTGCCACCATGTCAGCCAAGCCACTACCTCGTGGTCAGTGTCACTGTCAGCCTCATCGTCCCAAGGATCTGGAGCTTCTCAAAGAGATCTGCACAGCGAGCAAAAATCAGACGTCAACAAAAAACCCGTGCGAATTGTCATTTTCCCTCAAGCTTAGAGAGATCGTCTATGCTCTGACAAATAAACAACAATTGCCTACGTTCCGGATTTTCGAAAAGAAATTTTATGATCCCTATTTTAAAAGAGAAAATTACATACGTTCTGGCACATAAACACGTCTATATATAGATCCTCCTCTCCCTTTCTGTGCCGTTCTCAGTGAATATATATACACGACTACGCTAGCCCCCTCGCACGGTTTTCTCCGGTCAGTTTGAGCGGCCGTGATTTTGTTACGCTAGCCATGCTATGCATCTTTTTTCTTGTCTTTTTTTTGCGTGTGTCATGCCATGCTATGCATCTTGATATAGAAGTGGGTCTGGTGGCATTTTCTGGCAGTGAGACCTTTGTGTTTCCTGGGGGTTCTTTCAGTAAAGTCCTCAGTCTGGTGTGGAAAAGCGTCAGTCTGCCTTTTTTTCGCCAATGGTAAACCCCTCTATGGCTGCAGTGGTCGGTGCCCACCACAGGAATGACTGATGTCCACATCAAGATTGTAGACGGTCAGCCTGATGACTCGTTGAAACTCCGACAAAACAGCCCTCGTCACAGCACCCCGTTATTGTCCTTCCTTTCTGCCTCCAGTTCACCTCACAGTTCTCTCTCTCTCTCTCTCCCCATTCGATTGGCCGGAGTGCCACGATTGCTGGCCTCTCTCTCTCTCTCTCTCTCTCTCTCTCTCTCTTCCCATTCGACTGGCCGGAGTGCCACGATTGCTGGCCTCTCTCTCTCTCTCTCTCTCTCTCTCTCTCTCTCTCTCTCTCTCTCTCTCTCTCT